ATCCCAACAGAAGTATCTCCCCACGATCCCTTTAACGGGATACTCCATTTCAAAGGCAGAGGCTAGAACCTCCCCTCAGAACACAACTTTGCCAATCCAATGACTAAACTGAGAAAAGCTGTGACATTTGCAATGAGGATGGCAAAAAGCAGGGGGCTGAGTAGGAAAATTTCAACCTGGTCCCCAATACGGTGATCGTTTCTGCCATAGCAAGGTGGAGCAGAACAACATGCAACAGGAATATGTAAAGTGGGTGGGTGGGAATCCAACAAAAAGTGGCTGCAGAACAAGCCATGGGCCTGTGTTATATACTGGAGGAATGAGCTTTAACTTGGTTGCCCATGCTTGCTCCCAATTCACTGATTAGGCAAGTGGACAGGGCAAATTACCCTCAAGCAACAAGTTTGGCCGAGAGTCTTCCTTTGATGCCTGGGAATCCCAAGTCAGATCCTGGCATGCAAGGGAATGCCAGCCAACAATCACGCCCACCCAAGAGGGTGAATTCATTTCTGACAGTATCCTCTCTCCCCAATGGAAATTTGGTTTCAAGGATGCTCTTTAGTGTAGCCAATAGAACAAGTTGTGGCATGTAGATGGTTGTGGTGTGTGTGTGTGTGTGTGTGTGTGTAGTGCCCATTACAGAATGTGTGATGGCCCTTGGTGTAAATGAAAAAGAGAACTGAATCACATTTTAAAAGTAAATATTTGTAGATCTGATCTGGAACCTCAGATCATAATTTGAGGCCGTTTTTTCATGTTCCTCCTCCTTCATGATGTCTGGAGGGTGGCAAAATGAGAAGGAGCCTTTTCTGAAATGGATCCCTGTTTGTGGAATGCTCTCCCAAGTGAGAATCGCCTGGAACCATCATTATAGATCTGTAGGCACCAGGCAAAACCTTTCCTCTATAACCAGGCCTTTGCCCTTTAACTATCCGTGGTCTCTTAGAAATGGATGAGGTGTTTTTAATGTATTTCTCTTTACTCTTGGTTATATTGTATCTATGTGGCGTTTGTTGTCTCTTGGATTGTAAGTCTCATTGGATTGCCGTGGGTAAGAAAAAGCAACTGAGAAATTCATAATAATAGCACTAATAGCAAAATTCCCAGGTGTACAGCTGCATGACTAGCTAGCTGTCTGTGTGTGAATGGGGACCTGGAAAAAGAAGGTGGCAGACTATGGGACAAAATTATCTTAACAGGTTTCTTTGATCCCTGGCAGCTGATATAATATCCCTATTTTCATGTGGAATCTTGCAGAGAATGCAACTCGTCTGTTTTGATTAAAGGAGGGTTTTTGTCTGGCTTCAGATTCACTTCCTCTCACTGTGTATCTTGCACAGTAATACACAGCAGTGTCCTCGGGTTTAAGGCTGTTCATTTGCAGATAAAGGAGGCCGTTGGAATTGTCCCTGGTGATGGTAAATCTTCCCTTCACTTTATCCAAGTAGTACATTGCACCTGAATTGTGGCTTATGTAGGCCACCCATTCCAAGCCCTTCCCTGGAACCTGTCTCACCCAGTTCATGCCATAGCCCCCAAAGTTAAACCCAGAGGCTCGACAGGAGAGGCGGAGGAACTCCCCAGGCCTTTTCACATCTCCTCCAGACTCCACCAGCTGGACCTCTGATTGGACACCTGGAAAGAAAGGCATTTTAAGAAGTCTGCTGCATGTTAACAACACCCAGAATGTACCAACCTTTGATAACTGGTATGAGAAATTTACCTCCTAAAGCTACTGAAAAGAAAACAAGCTGAAGCAAAGCTATCATTTTTGCCTGCCTGATGCTTTGAGAGATTTGACTAAAATGTGGTCCCTAGTATGCAGCGGTAGGGAGAATGTTTGACTGCTTTAAAGAGGAAGCTCTCTCTGAAATTTACATAACCAGGAGGATAAAAGCACCAACGAAGACATTCGACAATGTCTGACTGGAAGCAAATGGTGACCTGGCAAAAATATACTTGTTTGCCATTGCACAATTTGCGTGTTGAGTCCCACAATGCCACCCCCCAAAAAATTCACACTTCACACATCAATTTTTGTTTAAGGTTTTTGGCATAATTTTGGCCACAACTTTATTAGAATACAAAAAATGTGAGTGGTTGCTTAGGCATTGGTTATGACTATCTGTCCGTGCTTAGGGACAGAACTGACTTCCGGATTCCAGCGGAAGCCAGCGTGGGAAACAAGTATTGGGGAGAAGATGAAGCTGGGCATCAGTCCATCACTTCTCACCCTCATGTTCCGGTGGGGCTTGCACGGCCCAAGTCCGACTCCGGGGACAAGGACGAAAAGAATGGCAAGCCCCTGGATTCCTTTAACGGAATTCCCTTTCCGCATCATTTGGAGGGATAGGCACTTACCCCTCCAAGAACCAATTTAACCAATGCCTGACCGCCAAACCTTACAAGTTGTGACGATTGCTACGCAGTAGGGCAAAAACCAAATTGGCACCAGCCAATCAGCCAAATGGCAAAATTCCTACCAGGCCCCCGCTCCAAGGCAGACGACCCCATGACAGGCATAGCAAGGTCAAGCGATCAAGAAAAAACCACCCTATAAAAGGGAGGGAGGGCGGGTGATCCGGTGCAAATCGGCCAAGAGACGTCCAACGTCTGGCCCCTGTATTTAAAGACTCTGACCCTCCTCCAAATTGGCAACAATCAAAACTCCCCAGCAACCCAAATTTAACCACTTAAAGGCTTGGGTTCCCTACCAAATTTGCCTAGTCACTGCAGGGTGGCTTGTTCCCCCAACCGCAACACGTGCTCTCTGTTAGGGAGAACACGCTTTGTATAGCTCTTAACCTTGATGGGCTCATGCACACAGGCTCCGTGATTTCAAAGATGCAAACCATCAAATATATAAATAATGGGGGGAGGGGTAAAGGGTTTGATGTATGTGCCTGAAAGTACATTTCATTCAAAATTACTTTGAAATTGGTCAAAGAAGTTGATCAAGGGGAAACATTAAATGTAGATCAATTCAATCTCTCTTGTTGTTGTTCTTTAATATCTTGCCCAAACCAGAGAATACAGCTAGTTTGCACTGGCGAATGTTTTAAAAACAGTTAAAAAATATTTAGTTTTGCATGGCATAATTTTTATTCTTAAAAAAAGTTTCTTATTGCTTCGCTAAATAAAGATTAGGGAGGCAGGTGATACTGCAGCCTAAACCACTGAGCTTTGGACTTGCCGATCAAAAGCTCGGTGGTTTGAATCCCTGCAATGGGGTAAGCTTCTATTGCTCGGTGTCAGCTCCTGCCAACCTAACAGTTCAAAAGCACGCCAAAAAGTGCAAGTAGATTAATAGGTACTGCTCCAGTAGGAAGGTAAATGATGTTTCCGTTGTGCTGCCCTGGTGTCAGTGTTTCTTGGCGCCAGAAGTGGCTTAGTCATGCTGGACCACATGACCTGGAAAAAACTGACTGCGGAGCAGAGAAATGCTGGCTCCCTCGGCCTTAAAACGAGAATGAGCGCTACAACCCAGAGTCGTTCGCAACTCAACTGTCAGGGGTCCATTTAACTTTACCCTAAATAAAGATTAATAGTTAAATTCTTATTCATATTATGTCTTATTTTTTCCATTTAATAATTATTTGGCTATTATAGAACCACTGAATTGTAGAGCTGGAAGAACCACAGCAATCATCAAATCCGACAACCTGCAAAGCAGGAATATTTTGCCCCAACATTGGGCTCAAACTCATGACCCTGAGATTAAGGATTCTCAAGCTCTACTAACTGAGTGATGTATCCTAGTCGCCCTCCTTGCACGCTTTCCAGCTTTCAATATCCTTGTTTAATTGTGCACCCAGAACTGGACACAGTTTTTTAGGTTGAAGCGTGCTCAACCGGTCTTCAGCTGCTGCTTTAAAATAAACATTTTCTCGTTGATTTCAGCTTCCCAGGTTCTGTTTGGTCAAACTGCTCTCATCCAAACTAATTTTTCATCCACATTATAACTATTTAATCATACTGAATGTGTTGGAAAGTGGATCCAAAAATCATGCAGAAGTTCTTCTTAGGGGGCACTTCTCATGGGGTTGTACAATATTCTTTTTCAGGAAGCAGATGAGGAACTGATCTCTTTTGTGGTAGAAACTCAAGGCAACATACGTTACTCAGATGCATTGACTTGCGGTCAACCATGTTTTGTCCTTTTATATGTAACTGTATTCTTGCTGAGGACAGAAGGAAGATTTTTTTCGTTGTGTGAACCAGGCACCTACATTCAACCCATGGCCTTGTTCCAAAAAACTTACTTACAGGACAGCTGTATTTGGATCAAATAGGCCACAGATGTAGAGATTTGGCATAGGTATAATAATCGACCACCAGCATTATAACTTGTAATGTATGCACATAGCTTTCTCTGTGAGAATGGAAATTGAGGAATCTGACTATTGCCTCAATTATCTAAATAAATTTATTTTCTTTCTTGCAACCGAACCTACTCAGAGTTTAGCTATAAGCAAGAAACGGTTATGGCTTGACCTCAGATTCACTTCCCACCACTGTGTCGCTAACACCATAATACACTGCCGTGTCCTCAGCTTTGAGGCTATTCATTTGCAGATAGAAGCGGCTGTTTGAATTATCCGTGGAGATGGTGAAGCACCCTTTCACTGCATCCAAGTAGTAACTTGTCACTGAATCCGTAGCTATCAATGCCACCCATTCCAGGCCCTTCCCAGGAGCCTGTCTCACCCAGTACATGTTGGAGCTCCTGAAGGTGAACTCAGACGGTTGACAGGAGAGGTGGAGGTAATCCCCAGGTTTTTGGTGTGTCCCCCCCCCAACTCAACCATTTGAACTTCCGATTCGGCACCTGGAAATAAAGGCATTTTAAGTCGCTTGTCCATACTTCTGCTAGTGTTGTGCCTAGAAAACACAAGTCTGAGCGGTTTCACTACTTTCCAAGGGAAAACCCCCTCTTTAGTGCTATACAAGAAGAAATTGCGGAAAACCCTCGAGGTTCATTTGAGTGAATTGCAAAGGAAATGGTGCCTTGGAAAAGTTCAAAATTCCATCTCCTTAAAAGAGGTGTTACTGCAACATCTATCTGGGCTGTCAAAATCCACACCTTGGTAAAAGATGGGTCTAACTTTAGATCAGGAAATGACAAAGATATTATTGTGTTCAGTAACAGGTATGTCATAGTTTCACCGTAGAGCACAACTGCTCTGGCTTTTGGATCGTTGGCATATTTATGTAGCTCAAATCTTCCAATCTCCTTATTAGTAAAGAAATGGATCTTTTTGGCCTCCAGCTTTTGCTGGGCTGCAGCTCCCATCGCCCTCAAGTCACCCAAACATAGTGAAGATTTCAAGGAATATGTAGTCCAGCAGCAATACCTGGAGACACATTAAGTTCCCCATCCCTGCTTTAGTGAGGCTACTTTTTTTGGTAAATCCTTAAGACAAACGTTCTTGGAAACCTTTGATCTCATCAAGTTGGACCAGATCAGCTTCCTCTTATTGCACAGCCTGGGAGTCATTCTGGACTCACAGCTGTCCATGGAGGTACAGGTCAATTCTGTGTCCAGGGCAGCTGTTTATCAGCTCCATCTGGTACACAGGCTTAGACCCTACATGCCCGTGCACTGTCTCGCCAGAGTGGTGCATGCTTCTAGTTATCTCCCACTTGGACTACTGCAATGCGCTCTGTGTGGGGCTACCTTTGAAGGTGACCCGGAAACTACAACTAATCAAGAATGAGGCAGCTTAACTCTCCTGTTAATCCTTTGGGTTAAAGCAGTTTGTAAACTAGCCACTTGCATATTCACCCGTGCAAGTAAGAATTGTCTCCAGTCAATTAGTCAGACAAAATGTACCCTGGAGGAGAGTTGTTGTCTCTCTTGCCCCGCCCCGCCCCGCCTTCCAGTTTCTTGACATGTCACAAATTGGTTCCAGAGGTGTTTGGGAGAACGACAGGCTGGTCAAAAAGAACTGGGAGCTAGCAGTTTTGTGGACTTGTTCCCAAGGCTGGTTTTTTAAAAAAATGTTAAATCTGAGATGTTGTATGCTGTTTCTAGGACTGAAAGAATGATTTCTACTGCTGAGATTGGAGAAAGTTTATTTAATAGAGTCTTCATATCATGCCTTCCCTCATAAAATGGATCCAGCAACAGTGAACAAATTTAAATAAACAAAGGGTCTTTATAAGTAACTTTAACTATGCCACATCAAAAAGCAACAGAAGCGGTTTCAGAAAAGTCAGCACCCAATTTATTGGAATTAGGAATCATGTTTAAGCATGCTTGTGTTAATCAACACTTACTATAGGAATAATGATCATTCTCTCGATGATGAAGTTATAATTTTTAATCTGTGATTGCAATTGTAGGAAGAGAAACAATTTGGCTAAAGTCGATCACGACTGGACTTAACTGTCAGGGATACCTTTATCTTTTTTATGCCTTTGTGACTCTCCCTTTGATTTCAGTTGTACAAGGTGGGTGAAAATGCAATGTTTACATCGAGAAAAGCTAATGGATTTTATTCTGGAACCACCCTGAGACCTCCAGTGTAGGGCGGTATATAAATTCTAATAGAAGAGAAGAAGAAAAGAATACAGTGGTACCTCAGGTTAGTACTTAATCGTTCTAGAGGTCCGTACTTAACCTGAAACTGTTCTTTAACCTGAAGCGCCACTTTAGCTAATGAGGCTCCCGCTGCTGCCGTGATGCCGGAGCCCGATTTCCGTTCTCATCCTGAAGGAAAATTTCTTAAACCTGAAACACTATTTCTGGGTTAGCAAAAGTATGTACCCTGAAGCGTATGTAACCTGAGGTACCACTTGTAATAGTTTTAAAGTGTAGATTGATAGTGACATGGTTTAACTTGCATGTAGAAGACAAAAGGTCACGTCCCAACTCAAGAATCACTGGGTGGCATTGAATAAATTCACACTCTCTTTCTCCAACTGTAAAATGGGGAGCGTTGATCACTTTTTTTGCAGGCATGCTGTTGAGGTAAGAGAGTTACAGGCTGCAAACAACTTGCACACAGTTAGATAAAGAGTTCTGGAGAATGTGAAAGCTTGCACGCTCTTTTTTGACATTTGGGTTGACCCAGCGTGGATCTGCATGCAGAATTATCAATAGCAATAACTTTCAAAATGTTCATCCCAGCAGTGAAATGAACTGTTCTTCAGACAAACAAAATGCTTGAAGGATTTGTTATGATAGAGATAATAGTCTTCTTTCTCCTTTAATCCATTCATAATACAAGATCATTGTTGAGGGCACTGTGCCTTTTCGACGCATTTCACGAAAGGGCCCCAATTTTGCGCAGAGGCCTCTAGGCGCACAGTGAGACGAAAGAATAACAGTAATTAGAAAGCAAGAAAGGAAAGGTTTGGTGATAATTAGAAACAAAGTAATTAAGAATCCAATTAAATTATATCACACATATAATTAGAAACACAGGTAAACACACTGGGCATTTGCTCTGTTGGGGAATGGAGTAGCAGAGTGTTGAGAATGCAGAGATTGAGATATAAAATTAGCTGCCGTGAAATGTTTTCCACTTGGTTATTGCTTGTCCAGCTCTGACTGTGGAACTTGTAATTAGCTTCTCTGCCTACACTAGTGTTGGTTCCAAAAGAACTGTGGAATTAAGAGAAAACTCTAGAATTTCTCAGCGTCTTGACAAGTTACAACCTGAAATGCTACACTTAGTCCATTAAAGGGTTTTTTCCCCCGTCTTCCTTCCCCCCTTCACAGTGACATTTTAGTGTAGCTAGGAAATTTGCCATCTCGCCATTTATCATTTTCAGGGCATGGATAGAAAAAGGGAGGTTGCTATGAAGAAACACAAATAAAATGGATTGCATGTATAGAGGTGAGCTGAAGAAAGCTGATAAATACACTCCCCTGAATGTCAGCAAATGTCACTTGAGAAGCCATTTGCTGCTACCATAAGAGCCTCATGAACAACAAAGAGGAGTAGGGAAACCAAGCAGAGCGAGCTGGGGCGGACGCGTTTCTACATGAATAGCAATGAGCGTGCTCAGAAGTTACACCAGAGAAGTTGTTAAACTTGATAGATGAAGCTTTTCATTCGAACCTCTCTCCTGCCCCATAGCCTTAAGAGCATCAGAGAATATAGGAGACCTCTTTGCAATGCATTGTGGGGGTTAAAACATTATATTTCATTCATACTTGCGCAAAGAAATAGCTTTATTAAATCACTGTGTTTAAGCCGCCCTAGCAGCACACACATTATCTCGGAACAGAAACAAGTCGACAGCGTACAGAAAAAAAATGAGCAGGAAAGGAAATAGTATAGCACCATCTACTGGTTGGAGGTGCAACATACTTATGCTTTATTTTTATCTGACCACACCCTCCACACTTTCATCTCTTCTGTAAGAACAAATCTTTGTCTGCATGGCTATTGGCCGATGAGTTCAGTGTGTGTCATCTGGCTATGCTTCAGCAAGACCTTTGGTTCCATATGCTTCCTTACTTTATGTTTAATATTCTTTCCATCAATTTTTCTGGAAAAGACATTAGGTAACCACCTTTGCAATTTTTCAAAATCCGCTCTGGATTCTCTTTTAAAAAGTGGTTTGCATTGGCCACTTCCCATTCCTCAGATATGGCTGACCTTAGGGACAACTTTTTTTAAAAAAAGTCAGCAATTTCCTCTTTTCTAGCATAGGACCTGGGGATCGGGGGTTGTATTTAGTCCAGATCTCAACTAGTGTGGGCACAAGATTCCACAAAATAAAGAAAAAAGTATCCTAATCAGGTCTCAGTCATTCGATGTTGCAAAACCTGAGTGGGATTTTAATTTCTTCTAAGGCAGCAAATTGCGGCCTCAGTTTGCCGTGAGGCTAAGTAGACACCGGGAGAGGAGCAGGCAAAGTGCCAGCATGCCATTTGGCCAAGAGTTATAATCATAGAACTGTAGAGTCGGAAGGGACCCTGAGGATCATCTAGTCCAACCCCCTGCAATGCAGGAATATGCAGGCTGCCCCATACAGGGATCGAACCTGCAACTTGGTATTATCAGCACTCATGCTCAACCAACTGAGCTTTCCAAGTACTTTGTTAACATTTATTTTTATGCTTGCTGGGTTGCTGTTTTTTAATATGCATGACTCAGCCGAAGGTATGAGTATACATACCAAGAATACAATATATAAATAAACATTTGCTTTTGTTATATTGTCTAGCAAGGGGAGCATCAATTTGCCACCTGTATGGGATTTGCCATGCGCAGAACATGTTCCCTAGCTATTACAGTCATACCTCATTTACGTCCGCTTCATGTTACGTTCTTTCAGGTATGTTCCCGCGGCGACCCGGAAGTACCGGAAAGGGTTACTTCCGGGTTTCGATGCTCGCGCATGCGCAGTGGCGCAAATAAATCATGTCCATGCGCAGAAGTGGTGGACCACAACCTGTGTGTGCGCAGACATGCCGCTGCAGGTTGCGCTCTTTTCATGTTGCGAACGTCCTCCAAAATGGATCCCATTTGCAACCAGAGGTACCAATGTAAAGTCATTGTTTTCAATGGCAGGGTCTCCATACAGCCTTTGCATGAATGGCTCTCCCTTCACTGACATAGCGAGGCACCTCCTCCTGTACATCAGAAACTCTCTTTATGCAGATTGTGCCCAAGATCTTGGCTTAGTGGTTAGCTGTGCTCTTTGTTGGATGGTGATTGTGTATGTTTCACTTTCCAAATAGAGGAATTAAAGTGTCCTATGAACAGGGTGCAGAACAAAAACCATACTGGTGTATTTTTAATTTAAATGGCCAAACACTGTAATGTAGCTAACCAGCCATTCTTGTCTGTTAATAGCATCCATTGGTTTGTAATATAATAATAATAATAAAAACGGGAATACTAATGACTAAGATTTTGTATGCATTGCCTTTTTGTGTTTCATTTTTAGGCCTCATTGGCATTCAGTATGGCACACTTCCTTTGAAACTATTTATAAAATAACTTACGGTTATAATTAAATCAACAAGCCATCTTTAAACACTTAATAGCTCAGTTTCATTCCTAAATTTGTTTTATTTTTTAAAAAGAAGGAAGACAAGAGTTCTGCCTCAATTCAACTGTTCTGTTTCCTTGGGATTTTTCCCCATCTTAAATCTGTGTATATCTAATTTTTTGACAACTATTGATTATTAATAAAGTGCTCATGAAAGATACGTTCAGCTGCTTCAACAGGAATAATGTTTTTGTTAATGGGGATGTAACATATCTTGAACAGATACAATATAGAAAATACACCTCTCCCCCTCTAACAGCCACATATCGCTAATGTTGTGGTTCTGAATACACAGGAAGTGGCTCAACAGATATGGCAGGTAATAATCAGAGTGGATGCTATTTTATAAAATGTAACTAAAAATTTTAATGATATAAAAGCAATAGATAAATAAAGCAATTACATTTAATTTGGCTTTCAGCTTGTGAGCAATTTTTTGTTAGCTTTAATAATGGAGAAGCTCATGCAGAAGGCTAATGGTAGATTGGTGTTAGCACCATTCATCAGGGTTCCTAAGTAGTACTTAGCCTGGATAATTCCCAAGTAAAGGTAAAT